CGGTGGCCAAGGGAAGCATTTTGAATATAGACGCAAAATGGGGTTAAAGGAAAGAGTAAAAGAGAATACGAATTTTGAAGAAAAGTTCTTACGGCTTTTCAAAAGATAGAAAGGTTGTATGTGTAATATACACGTCGAGATTCTATTTTATATGCTTATAGTTCCCATAACGGCTCTTGCTTCTCCTCACTACATTCTCATGCTCTTCAATCTTTAATTCACAGAAATTTATTTATAACATAATTATGGAGAACATCTTACTGATGTTGATCACAATTCACTACAAGAAAATGAGTTTTGCTGATATGGTGGTGACATATTTAGCCCTGCACTGATTAAAGAAATGATGGAAACCAAATGTTTTTCTTTTTTAAATTAAAGGTCGATTGTTCTTTTCAACTAGCTAACAAAAAGAAAAATTAATTAGCCATATGTGGCGCATCGCATGATTCGTACCAATTATATTGCATAAAAAGTCAAAGATGATGTCAGAATCGATCAACTGAATTACATGTATAACGGAGTCACATATATGTATGAAAGGCTATAAGTATATCTTTCAATGTTCATGGATTTATATATAACTATACGTTACGTATAAGACTCATTGTAGCTCTTTTTAGATTTATATATAGTTTGTGAGTAAAATTTTTGATTGAATATTATTATTATTGTTTTTTTTTATGTTCTTTGGAGATCTATTTTTATATAAATCAATAAATTATTAATATTTCGAAAATTGAATTCAGAAGTCAATTTTTCATTTCGGAGGAATATAATCAAACAATTTTGTTTCGGTAAGGTTTTGTTAAAACCCAAAAACGGATCGGTTTCAAAGTTTGTAAATCGATTATGAGATCATTTTTTGGTTTCAATTTGGTTAGCTGGTTCAACTGTTACATTAAGAAATTAAAAACACTACTAACCTTAGTGTTGACTGTATAACTCCACAGGACCCACAGGATCCACCAATTTTATTTTGTTTCTATGTGTTTTAGAATCCAAAATTTTAAAACATTTGCAAAAAAAGCCCAAAGATTTTGATAAACTATATATTCCATATTTAGTATATAATTGGCACATGGCCCATGAATTTAATGAGCTATCTGAAACAACCCGATCCATTTTTTTTATATATATATAACATCGAATTAGTATTCCATAAATACTAACTCTCAACATGCTAAATTTCCAATCACAACAAACCAGCGGAAAACAATATACAATTAAATCAATCAAACAATTCAATAAATTCCATACTTTACTGAACCAACTAACCAAACATCTCAATTCTAGAATCAACGAATTCCATAACAATTCCAATTCAAATTCCAAACATCAAAAACCATCAACTTAGCATTTCTAACACATGAATACAATGAC